TTTGGTTTGTTTATTTTTTACAGGTAGCTAATCCTGTTGGTTTTCTAACGTTTTTAGGGGTTTAACTTTTGACATAATCGAACATGTATAGAACCTCATGTAAATCATTCAAAATGTAATATTTTTAGAATGCTCGTTGTTATTCTTCTGATCATCGCTGCTATACATCTGTCTGAATGCTGCCTTTTTGGCATAGAGCCCTTAGGAATAATCAAAGCTCGCGCTGTTATCTATCGAGCCGTACCTGGTGGTAATCCCACTACACCTATTGGGGTCGTTGATCTCACCCAAATAGGATGCACAGTTATTGTTAGTGAATTCAAGAACATAACGGTCGAAATTGGCTTACAGAGGGAAATTACAGTTAGCTGGCACCATATATGGCCTTACGCCAGGACTTCACGGCTTCCACGTGCATGAAATAGGAAATTTGGGAAATGGTTGTCTAGCTGCAGGCTCGCATTTCAATCCTGCTAATATGACACATGGTGCCCCAAGTGATTCAATACGACATGTGGGCGATCTTGGGAATGTTAAGGCTCAGGTGGGCACAATGAGGATACAAAATATCTTTAGAGCTATCAGGCGAACTATCACCCAAAGAAAGGCTTTAAAGCGCTCTTATCCCAACACTTTAGCGCATTTCTTCGTTAGCAATTTTTGCAAGAACGCATTTTATTAATTGATCAAGATTCTCTAGCGTATGGGAATTCCAAAATTTCCAACCAAAAGGCCTGCACATAAGGGAGCTGAACGTTTACTTCTCTAGCATCTAAGTACTTAATCCACTAAATATTTTTCGACATAATTTAAGGACAGTGGTGTTGCTGCATTCTACATGTATGACTCACAAATCACACTGAATGGTCCAAATAACATTGTTGGAAAAACTCTTGTCATCCACGATAATGTAGATGATTTGGGTCGTGGAAATCACCCCGATAGCAAAACAACCGGAAATGCAGGAGGACGTTTTGGTTGTGGAATTATCAAGCTGATTTGATTTCTCACTTAACGTTTACTAAAAAGATATTTCTCAACGGCTCGTTTCGCTTGTTCTCTATGCTTTTTACCTTTGCAACAAGATAAACTTGCAAAAATCTTGACAGTAGAGTAACAAGTTTTCTTCTCATGTTTCCTGATGTTCATTGCTTTGAAGGTATCGACCTCCTCAGTTTGTTATCTTTAAAACTCTCTGTTTTGAACTCTCTTCAGTTCTTTGTATAATTTTCTAACCATCTATGTCTTTATTCTTAGTAGCCTATTGTTTTTAGTCTTTTTTTCCGCAATATTTCTTTTCCATGCGGAGCCTATCCGAGATAGGCTTCTGCGAACGGATGGGAGCTAAAAGGTGATCCTCTTACTGTTCTGCAGTTATA